AGGGGAAACAGAGACAGTGACAGAGGCACAGAAATCAGGCCTGACCCAAGATCTTGGTGGTCATCACTGAACAGACATGTGGTATAGGGTTTCTACCCACTTGGGACTGCTACTTTCATGGTGTAACTGGAGGTGTAGGGACCTTCCTGGCTGTTCATGATCATGACAGACACTAAATTATCTGCTGACTTTGGGGTAGAAAAATTCTACCCCAAATTCCACCCGGAAAAACTTCCATGGTGGCAGGCTTCCAGTAACTCCTTGAAGAAGACAAGACAAACTGGTCAGTGACGGATAATGGAGGTTTGGGAATAAGAAACTTGGGCTCAATGAGACACACACGGTAACAGTTGGCACTGGGTATACAATGGCTGCAGCTCAGAACTCTTCTGCACCTCTTTAATTTCACAACAACCTTTTACCAACTTTATCTTACAGACAAAAAGGGGAAATGAGATTCTATTGGTGATAGCCACCTCTACATGACAACACTTTCTTAAAGCCTGGTAAAAGGCCAAGGGGGGAAAAAAGATCCTGGAGCCATAGTAACTGAAGGTATGGGCAAGAAAAAGTATCAGAACCAGAGACAAGAGTTGAATTCGAAATTCCTATAGGCAATCCTCAAGACAAACAAACAAACAAACAAACAGAAAAACAGAAGGTAAATTAACCTCAGTAGTGTGACCAGCCAAACTGACTTGCAAGAAATAGAAGGGCTTCCCATAAAGTAAAACATACAGTGCTAAAACCATTAGAGCTGAATGCCTTATCAACACAATTTCAGAGTGAGCGATTAGGCCTTCCATCATTAAAAACACACAATGTCTTTATGGCATTTTCAGACCTAAAATGGTTCTTTGAATGCCTTCTCTAATCATCATTAAAAATACTAAATAACTTAGTGAACATTCCGTTCAAGAGAGATGAAGGGCTTATGGGTAGATGAAGAGTTGCTCATTGTGAGGTTTCAACCATCCTGCCTATCAGAATAATCAAGAGTGAGAGAGAAAGAAAGGACTCATATGCTAGGCTACATTTTGGTCTACTAACTCCAGCTGTGCTTTGATTTTCTTTTCTAAAGTCAGATAGGATTACTTAAAATAAAATAAAAAAGAAAATCCTACGTCAGAAGGAAATTCAAAGCGATGGTTCTTAGAAAGTCTGGTAGCAATCTTGTTAAAGTTTATAGATATGGACTAAACTCAAACTTCTTTAAACAGGGTGAGAACCCAGTTCTAAAGAACGGATTCTTCATAATGATGGCGGCTGACTCTTGCTGATTTTTGTCCCTCATGGTGGCACCTTGCAAAAAAAGCTCTATTTTAATTGCAGTCTTCATATGTCACAGTTCAAAACTATACTGGTCATTTGGCGCAATTATTTGCCTGTGAGTAAATTAATATCTGGGAAAGGGAAGTTAATGAGAAGGAGGACCTAGACAGGAGCTAGTCACAAAGTTGAGGTGAGACTAACCACATTATGTGGGAAATGAAAATTCCTTAATTAAGGTGAGGCAGTGCCCACTGCTACCACTAGATCATACAAAGGAAGACCGAGGGTACTGTTATCTACCAGGGGTCTTCACAGACCTTGGATGGGAGTGAGAAAGGAAAATGAATGCTTGAAGGATCCAGAGCTAAATAAATATGTAAATGCTTCAAGTGGAAAATGCAAGCTAGCTCTAGGAATGAAGCAAAACTCTGCCACGACATGTTGGAATTTTTCCAAAATCAGGAGAACTTTTAGGTTCAATATCTCACCAATTCTTTCTGGTCACTTCCAGTGTCTAGACAAAGGGTCATGTTTTTAATGTACCCAAAATAGAACACGATTGCAGTCAAGGAAGATGCCCAAGTGCCTACAATCTACCATGGCTGTTATGAGGTAGGCCATCAAGTCACAAAGCAACAGCAGGCCCTTAGATAAACAGGTATGGATGAGGCCACGGGGAGTCACATCCCCATCAAAGCAAGCATACCTTCATGCTCCCAGAATAACCCTGGTTTCTCCTATCAAGACATAATTAAATATTTTGAATTAATCATTACATTAGACAGACAAGAAGACAGGTAGTTAGGTAGACAGAAGACAGACAGATGCTGATAGAGGACTGACAGAAAAAGTAGTAATAGTTAATATAGAAAGAAAAATAATATAGGTAGAAAATACTAACATTATAAATAGATAAGTGATAGATATTGATGGATAAACATAATAAAATAATTATAATTTTATATAAATAGATAGATGTATAAGTAGATATTGCTTAATAATAAATAACAAAATTAATTAAATAATAAAATAAATAGATAAAATATAATAGATGATAGTTGGGTAGGTAGATGACAGGAAAGTAAAAATGAATGACTGATGCTAGACACAGAGAGCAAAAGGTAATAATAAATGGAAGACAGACAGACAGACAGACAGACAGACAGACAATAATAGAGGTTAGAAATAAAAGACAAGTACCTAGGGTGTCATGTGGAATGGATGCAACTGCCCCATACTGGGAAAGGAGTCACAAGACAGAGGACAAGAGGCTTTCTGTGAGTGCAGAAAACTAAACTAGCTCAGAGCAAATGCTAATCAGAGCAGAAAGGTGTCACTGTTGCAAAAACCAGCTAACTCAAAGGCAGAGACAGGAGGGCCCAAGGTGCTCTCAGGTGAGAGGAAGCCACGGGTAATAAAAAGGAAGGGCCACAATGGAGCCACTGGGGAGGAATCCTGTGTTCTCATGCTAGAGTCCAGTGATAGGATCCACAGCTGTCTAGGTTGTCATGACGCCATGACAAACTTCTTTTTTGTTGTTGGGAGGTTTTGGTTTTTGTCCCCCTCCTGAGAGAGAGAGAGAGAGAGAGAGAGAGAGAGAGAAAGACAGAGACAGACAGACAGACACAGATAGAGAGACAGAGAGATACGAGATTTACCCTTCAAAGTTTTCATGGCTAGATCTAAGATCATCTCTAAGCTGATTTAAAAGCTATATCTAAGCAGTCGAAGTTCACCAGTGGACTCCTGTGGTCAAGACCAAATAAGAGGATGTCTTCCCAGCTGAGAGATGGCTGAGCCCTCCAGTCATTTCCCAAGGAATCTGGACAGAGCAGCATTCACTCTGCCTCACACAAAACAGGATCCACAAAATTCCTTGAGAGTCTAAAGGGATCCTAAACTTTGCCATAGCAAATTTTATAACATACTTGAAGAAAAGGGAATAACTGAAAACAATAAAAGGACTATTTAAAACAAATATGTGTTTATTGTTCAGAAAAACTACCATCTTAACAAAGAGTGAACACATCACCTACAAACCTCTGTCCTGCTCTGTCAGAAGTCCCTGATAATCACCAGCAGATTCTCACACACAGCCAGCAAGAAGTTCTTAGAAACCAACCATTTGCAAAGATGTTTTTGTTCTTTTTCTTTTTGTTTTTTGTTGGTATTTTGGTGGTGGTGGTGGTAGTGTTTGTTTCCTTCCTTCCTTCCTTCCTTCCTTCCTTCCTTCCTTCCTTCCTTCCTTCCTTCCTTCCTTTCTTTCCCTCAAGCCTACTGTTTTGGTTTTCCCACTCTGCATAAATCTCATCACAGTACCTTCAAGTAGTTTCCCATAACTTACAAAACACCACTCTGCTATTCACACTAATAGGCAAACAATCGAGGAAATTCTGTTTGGTTAAGGTTTCTGAATTGGAGAGGCTGTTTGTGTGTGTATGTGTGTGTGTGTGTGTGTGTGTGTGTGTGTGTGTGTCTGTCTGTCTGTCTGTGTTTCTGTGTGTCTCTGTGTGTGTGTGTGTGTGTCTGTCAGTCTGTCTGACTCTGTGTGTTTCTGTGTGTATGTGTGTATCTGTCTCTGTCTCTCTGTCTCTCTCTCTGTCTCTCTCTGTCTCTCTCTGTCTCTCTCTGTCTCTCTCTCTCTCTCTCTGTCTCTGTGTGTGTGTGTGTGTTTGTGTGTGTGTGTGTGTGTGTTTAGGTGGTGGGGACTACTATTTTTTTAATGCCCACATAAAACAATTACTGGAAGAAAGAGCTTGTGACTTGTGCGTGCCCTGAGTTCAATTCCACCACGAGTAAAAGCAGCCAGCACAATCTTAACCACTGTTCCCTCTTGACTACACAATGGTGTTCACAGAGATTCAGTCCTGCCATGAAAGGCGTGTTAGACATCAGAAGGGGACTCATAAAGAATGGGCACCAGGCCTTGAATAAACAAGAGACATGTCGACCTTCTGCCACCTTCCATTGACAGCCTGGCACTTCTGCTGCAGAGGACCAATCAAAAGTTGCTGTGTGTGACCAGGTGCTGCAGTGTCCTTGCTTCTGAGTTTCTCCTATACGTTTATCTCCTTAAATAGCTTAAGGCCTGACATGTACTACACAGTACCAAAGAGTGAAAGAGAAAGTTCCTGAGACCCACTGTTCCACTCTCCCTTAACACTTTGTTCACCGTATTGTTCAAGTCTTGCATAATGCAGCCCGAGTTTTACTAGCAACAGGCAAGACAATGCATTTAGCAGTAGCTGGACAATTAGTTCCAATGAGGCCTATTTCTCAGCTGAATATAAGCCTTGGTGGAATGAAGTGAAAGAAACCGTTAGAGAAAATTTAAAGAAATATTTTATCACAGAAGTAAACAATACATGGTAAAGCAAACTGAACTAAGGGTGAGATTTCACTGCCAAAATTCACCGCATGGCATCAGGAGAATACCTTAACTCTCCATTCTTAGCTATAGAATGTGGGCAACTTATCATCACCCATCAGAGGCTCTGAAGACCTAATGTCCTTTTGAGACTGGCTGTGCTGTAAAACCTGTGACGAGTTATGCAGATGCAAGCAAGGGGTTTCCCCTGGCGTGTATGTGAAACCACAGTTACCCATCTGCTTTGGAAATCACTGACTTCCACTCTCCCTAGCAGAATGTTGAAGGAATAGTTTTCTTTCAGTTTGCTTTTCTTGATTACTAATTTTTTTTCTTTTGTACATTCATGAGAAATACTTACATATGTACATGTGGCGGCTGGAATCTGCTCTGGTTGATGTTGTAGTGTGTGAATGCCTGGGTGGGGTTTGAGCTATACTCATCCACCGTTATGGTAACTTTGCCTTGAGAAGGAATCCCATGTGCCATCCTTCCTCCCTATAGGCATTAGCAATTCAGAACTCTCCGGAGCAAAAGCTGGAAGCAGGCATGATGTGTTTCAGCCAACCTCTGAATCCAAGGATCTACTCATCAATACCACTGTGCGTTCTAGAAGAAAAAAAAAACATACATATGTGTATGTGTGTATATAAATTTAAAAAAAATTAGAACAATGAAGACGGTTCTAAAACACATTGAGTTTGGAACCTCAATTATATAAAATTGTCTCAGGAAAAAATCTGAATGGCTATTATTTCCTCGTGGACATAACTGTTGTCTACTCTTTCCTGAATGTCCCTCAGAGTGGACGTTACACTCTATATGGTATCACTAGATGCTAGTGAATCGTCTCAGTGGAGTTCAAACTAAGAATTCCTCTCTAATTGTAATTATGGCACTTAACGTGAATTGCAGAAGGACCAAATCCACAGTTGCCATGGTGTCTAGCTATAAATGGTTTGTGCTTGAAGACTCTTCCAAGCCCTCCCTGCTAATTGAAATATTTGGTTCTTACAAAATTGATATCACATTATACACTCTCTTGCAATCTTGATGCTTGAATGATCCACAGGGCACCAGGACACCATGACAAATGCAAGCTGAAGGGTCTGTGCTCATAGCTACAAAACTACAAAATGTATAACTACAAAATGCACAGGACACACACATTACACGTAAGTTTGTTTGTCTTACAGACACTTTCCTAATACACAATGCCTTGCATACATACACACAAACTTCTCTCTGGCCAAGAACTTGACAGTAAAGCAAATACTTCTTGCTAACCATGGTGCACTTTCTTTCAATACTCTAGAGACTCAGCAGAAAGCCAGATGAACACAGGATTGGTTAGTTACTTTCTAACCCTGGCGCCCCTCTTCCCACTTAAGGGAGCATTTAGGGAGGGCAGCCATCACATCTTGGGCCCCCATTCTCTGTGCTGTCATTCTTACTAGCTGGTCACATTTTCTTAAGAAATTTCAGCAATTCTCGTTCTTCTTATGTGTCAATGTATTGGTCGCCATGCGGAGTACAGAAATGAAAATGTCACTTTTTTTAATGGCAGGTATTTAGAGGGATGCAAGCCCTTGCATGGAACTGGTCCAATTGGTGGTCAACTGCAAGACGCAGGAGGCATCACACACTCCTTGGCTAACCCTTGGCTAACCTGCATTTTTTCTCAAAACCCTGAATCAGAATTCATTTGCCATGTATACCATTAAGCTCCACGCATCTTAGCTGTCATCTCAAAAAAAAAAAAAGAATATTTAGAATAATAAGATTAGATTGAAATTTAGCAAAATATTGGAACAAAAGGCAGATAAATGGCCTGCCATAATAGGCCATTTATTTTATTATTTTATGACTCAGGGCTCCTGTAGCCCTCCACATGCTAGCTGGGCTAAGAAATTCCACAATGTTCTACTCCAAGGATTGCTTTCTTCACATGAGTCAAGCAAGCTAGGCTACACCCACCTAGCCTTGGTTCCTAGAACATTCTTATAGCCAAGAGAGAAGCCCCTGGTGTTCTGACACTTTTAACACAACATTGCCTTGGGTTCCCTTGCTGCTTCTCCCTGCCTTCATGAGAGGTATGGCTCCCTTAAGCATTAGCTGATAGGCAATCAGGCTAGTAGGATTAGCTAAGTCAAATCTTGCCCTGCTCCTCTGATATAAGCTATCTGTAAAGAACTGCTTACGAATCATAATGTAGCAGTTTTCATACTAAGTTTGCAGCTGTTTCTTTAATTTCCTACACATTATATTTTACTGTTATTTTGCATAACAGTAAAACACAGCACCTGCTTCAAATTGCAGTCCTGTTCTGAGTGCTGTAATTCTCTTCTGAGACACAAAGTACCGAGACACAACTGGAGCACGGAGCTGGGTAATTGCGTGGTACTGAAAAGTAAACACAAATGAAGACATCTTCCTGTTACAGAAATGACTGTCATTAAAAAGAATGTTAGCCATCAAAGCACAGAGGAGGAAAATACGCATTTTCAGAATACGAGAACTTAGTGTCTGCATAAATTAGAGAGTGGTATAAAAAATTACTTGGCGATTCTTATTTTCCTTCCATCAATGTCTATTGTGTGAGATACAGAACATTTCAGAAGCAACAGAAAATCAGATTCAGGTCTAGACCACGGTGACCTCAGAGTAAGTATCTGTACTCCTTGCCAGAAAGAATTTACATGTTTGGGGAGAAAACTTACTAATTAAACTAAAAGAGTGTAGGCCAGAAATAAAAAAGGCATAGAGTATTTAAAGTGACTTGAAGTGGCCGGAGGGAGACCCTCTCAAGCCATCCTGATTGAAGCCCAAAAGAGGCAGAACTTAGATGCTAGATTCCCACTTCTAAATAGTCCAGACTATCCTAAAGTCACCCTACAGATTTTCATTTTCGTCAGGAAACACCTATGCCTTTTTGCCCTTCTGCCCCAAGCAAGGCAAACAATCTCTCTCCATCAGCAAAACCAGACCCCTGTGATTCTGAAGGGCTAAATGGGTGGCTGGCACCTCATTTGAATTCATCTTTGCCTTGTTCCCTTTCAAATGTTTTATCGAAACAGTGCACCTGCCGAGTCTATCTTCTTTAATCTGGAGTCCTTTGAAGGAAATGTCAGACTGAGGCAAAGAGCTTCAAAACTTTCACAGAACCTTACAGACAAGTCAAGAAAAGGCTTATTTTTAAAAATTCTATGTTCAATTCTATCCATGCCTCAGAATGAACATATCCTATAATTGGGGTGTGTGTGTGTGTGTGTGTGTGTGTGTGTGTGTGTGTGTGATTAGGAGGACTGGGGGATGGAGGAAGGCTCTCCGTAACAAAACCATAAGTTAAACCACATCACTTTACATGAGATCTGGGGAAGCTTGAAAGATGCAAGGACCCCGCCTTCACCTTCGAAGAAGCTACATCACCCTGCTTCAAATATTCAAGCTGTAACAGTTCCCCCCCCCCAAAATAAAACCCACATCCTCTCTCAAAACAGTTAAAGGGAGCAGGTTTCTTCTTTTAATTTTATACTTCAATGCATTTTATCCACCAACAAAGGCACCCAGCACAAGATGCCAAAATGCCTAAAGAAAAATCTAAACAGGACTATCACTGCCAAGCAAGCATTCACGCTGGTGTTAGAGTTTCTGAAAAAAAAAAAAAAACCCACGTGAGCACATTGAGCATTCCTAGACAGCAGTCACTTCTGTCCCTTAAGCTGCAGGACTGGAAATATTCTTTTCCAGGAAGCCACTTGGAAAACCTCTTAAAGTCTGCTGGCAAGGAGAGGATTAAAAACTGAAGGCTTAAATAACTGTCTCCACCTCCAAGACACCAGAAGTCCGATTTACCTAAACTTTCAAAGCAACAATTTCTGACCTCTGTACTCGCGCGCTGCCTAAGCCAAACCTGGGAGAAATGAGCCTTGGATTTCGCTTTCCTTGTTTAAATAATGGTGCTCATTTGAGTCAGGAAGATAGCCGCCTCACTTATTGGGTGGAGGGACTTTGGAGCTCGCTCCCGGTTCAACCCCGCCAAATTTCATTCTCTCTTCCCTCTGCCTCGCGGATGGAGAACCTTCTTAACTCACGCCCCTACTCTTTTATGCCCATTTCCAGTTAGTCATCCTCGTGCGGGATGCGATGCCCAAACGCTTTCCCCGTGGTTGCTCCGCTTCTTTTTTCTGAAGATGCTAACAAAGTTCCACGTGCCTCTGTCCACTAAGCGCCCTCCCTTCCCTTCACACTTACACCTGAACTTGTCTCCAGCACTGCTGACACCCAGCTGGCACATTCTTTCGGAGAGGGAGGGCACGACTTTTCTCCTGAGCCTCTGACAAAGCGTGGGGTCTATATATGGTGGGGCGGGGGTGGGGGGCGCAGAATTCTCTACTTTGGATTGGTTTGTTTGTTTTAAATGTAGGGTGGGCAGATGGGGTGGGGGGCTGTAGCTACTACACACACACACACACACACACACACACACACACACGCACGCACGCACGCGCACACATGCCCTGCTCTGTCAACAGCTCTCGTTGCCCAGTCCTGGCCACAACTCCCTCTTCATTCCGTAGGCGCTGAGTACCGGGTGGGCCACCGCCGGCGATGAAAGCAGCACTAAGGACACTAGACTTGCTCCCCAAGGGTCGGCTAAGCATTGCCCCCCACCTTCCTTTCTCCCAGCGGGGCACCGACTGAAGACTGCCGTAGAAAACGGGCTCTGACGTCGCTGCCATCCTCGGTGGGGCATCTTAACCCCTGGTCTGGGACGAAAGCCTCCGTAGCGCACTGGCATCTCCGAGCATACAGACAGGAGCCTGAGTCCGCACCCTGAGCAGCCTCCTCCACGCTCTGAGTCTCGGAGCTGCCAGGCGCCTCCCCGGGAACGGCTGGGAAAGGAAGGGATTCAACCAGCGATCGGGCTTGAGGGGGATGTGGAGGCCACCGCCTTGCCCCCTCTTTGGAAGTCTTTCCCTTCCAGTTAAAGTTCTGTTTGTTTTCCCCACCCTGACCTGTTAGTGTCTTTACCATCACAAATCAATTACACATTTTTCATAACTCGCATTCACTCTTAATTCCGGGTGTGATGGGGGTGCGCTATAAATCAACCCCACTGCTCATCTTTCCGTGCTCTTTTCTTGCTGGGGGATTTCAGTGCCCTCTCGAACCTCTAGGTAAAAAACGCTCCCTTCACCTCCTAGGCCGCAAAAGCCCGAAATTCAAAAGATTTTTAAAGATATTCTTACCACATGTAAATGTAAATAGGGGTGGTAGTGGGGGACCCACACAACTACTGCTTAGGTAGAAAAGAAACTGGGCGGCCACGGTTACTTTTCCACTCCGCCGTACCCCGCCTCCCTGCCCTCTCGCTCGGCAGGCAGCGATCGCCGAGACCGGAGAGTAAGGTCCGGGCGCGGGGGCCGGCAGAGAGCTCCGCGCTGGAGCGCTGCGCGCGCGGGCGGCCGGAGCACAAAGCTGCATCGAGCCGTCCGGCCACTGCACCTGGCCCGGGGCCGCCGCGGGCGCACGGGGCTCCGGCCAACACAATGGACCCGGGCCTAGGCCGGGGCAGCTGCGGCGCACGACCCTGGGACTTTCT